TTTGCCCTGCATAAGCTTTATGCAGGGTAAAACGGATTTATCTGGGTTTAGACCCCATTGGGAGTTGGGCATCTGAGTGCTAAAGACAAGCACACTCCTGTGAGCTGTTTTTGGGTAAACTTGCAGTTTTGGGACAAGTGATTCAGACCCTGAGTCTGCGTTGGAGCCAGACAGGAGTGTCTGGCTCAGCAAGACAGGGTGCTGGAGCCCTAAGCTGGCAGGGAAAATAGAAGCAGGGGTAGTCTTTGCACATTAGGTGGCAGCTCCCAATGGGGTTTCTGTGATCCAACACGTCACAGTGCTGAAGTGAAAAAACAGATTGACAGAGCCAGACGAGTACCCAGAAGTCACCTCCTACAAGACAGGGCCAACAAAGAAAATAACAGAACACCATTAGCTGTCACCTTCAGCCCCCAACTAAAACCTCTCCAGCGCATCATCAGAGATCTACAACCTATCCTGAAAGATGATCCTTCACTCTCACAGATCTTGGGAGACAGACCTGTCCTCGCTTACAGACAGCCCCCCAACCTAAAGCAAATACTCACCAGCAACCACACATCACTGAACAAAAACACTGACCCTGGAACCTATCCTTGTAACAAAGCCCGATGCCAACTCTGTCCACATATCTATTCAAGTGACACCATCATAGGGCCTAATCACATCAGCCATACCATCAGGGGCTCGTTCACCTGCACATCTACCAATGTGATATATGCCATCATGTGCCAGCAATGCCCCTCTGCCATGTACATTGGCCAAACCGGACAGTCTCTACGCAAAAGAATTAATGGACACAAATCTGACATCAGGAATCATAATATTCAAAAACCAGTGGGAGAACACTTTAACCTGTCTGGCCATTCTATGACAGACCTGCGGGTGGCTATCTTAAAACAGAAAAACTTCAAAAACAGGCTCCAACGAGAGACTGCTGAGCTGGAATTGATATGCAAACTAGACACAATCAACTCAGGGTTAAACAGGGATTGGGAATGGCTGAGCCATTACAAACATTGAATCTATCTCCTCTTGTAAGTACTCTCACGCTTGCTTCTTATCAAACTGTCTGTACTGGGCTATCTTGATTATCACTTCAAAAGTTTTTTCTCTCTTACTTAATTGGCCTCTCAGAGTTGGTAAGACAACTCCCACCTGTTCATGCTCTCTGTATGTGTGTATATATATCTCCTCAATGTTTCACTCTATATGCATCCGAAGAAGTGGGTTGTAGCCCACGAAAGCTTATGCTCTAATAAATTTGTTAGTCTCTAAGGTGCCACAAGTACTCCTGTTCTTTTTATGGGAAAAATAGTATTTCATCATGTAATTAAAGATTATGTCCTAGTGTATACTAACAAAAAGGCAGAATTAAGGTGGCATGGAGGTACTAGATTAAAAAACGGTAGAATGAAGGTGATGTAACTTTAGTCTGGAAAATTATGCAAAAAAATAGTTGAAGAGGAAGTAAGGATGTCTTAGTCATGAGCAAAAAATAGATGTGATGGTTTCAGGTGGTGAATGGAATATTTGATTTTGAGGATTGTAGGAATGGCCAGTGTTAATTCATTTTCAGAATGAAGAGGATTCTTATCAGGCCTTACCAGACAAACAATATCACAGTTTTCACCGAAGAAGGAATGGTTTTAAACCTAGAATTTGGTTTTGGGAAAACCTAACTGCACAGATTGTTTCACTCTCTGTACTGCCTGTGTTGTCACAGGCATCCAGAATGTTCCTTTCCCACCCTGAAAAATGGACACAAGTGCCATTCCAGACCAACTCCACTGCCATTATCCCTCTGGGCCAATGTAAAACAATATTCTGTGGGCTTGTCCACTAGAAGAGCATGTGTACTGATTAATAGAAATTGGGGAACAGATGATGATACTGAGGGTTAATGCTGTGAAGAAGTCTTCTGCTATCTCACTGCATAACTCTTCATTCGTTTGGAGATAAGAGACTGGGATGGAATAGAGAGGGTACAACTGACTTTAAATTTTGTTTTTTAGCTGTCCATTATTGGACAGTCTTTGTCTCCATAAAGTCCGGAACTTCTAGAAATTCCAGAGTTGCAGCAGTTTTGTTTTTTAGTGCTTTTAGAGGAAATAATTTGCTTCCTACCTGATTCACAAGTACATTTGCTGTTGAACATTTAGTGAAGCATTTCAGAAAATATATCTGAATTTCACAGCCATTAGTTCCCCAAGAAGGCAATAATAAATGGACAGAGAACAGGTTATGGTGTATTACCAATAGAGTCCCTTATTTTAAAAGGGATGAATTTGAGGGTCCTTGATTGTATTCATTTATTCAGGTTTGTGCCTGGCTGCTGCAGAGGCATGCAAGAGGGAAAGGAGCAAGGAGCTTGCCTTACACAATGGCTGTCCTGCAGCAGTCAGAGGGACTGCTGCTCCCTCAGAGTACCCCTGGGGAAAGGACACCCTAAAGTTGACAAGAAAAAGGCAAGGCCATGACCCCTCCGCAATCATCAGTGCCACATTGGTCATCAGAATTAACCACGCTTGCGGTGGAGCAGATGGCACACTCCCTTAAAGTGTGAAGCCATGTACACCAGAGAGCAGAGGGGCTTCTCAACAAAATCCTCAATTAATTATTCACCTGTCACCATAGTTTCTGGAAAAGTTACATAATTGAAACAATAAATCAAAGTATACTGCAGTATCTGGATCACACAGCCGCAGCACCACTGTGTGCCTTACACTATGCTTTAACACACAAAATCTTGGGTTCTGCTGAAGTGAGCTTCCAAGCCAAAGGCCTGTCCCCTTGCCTTCATTGTTCTCCAATCCTCAAATCTAAGATTTAACAGACACTTTTCCTTCATTAACCCTCCTTGTCTTCATCTGCTCCATATTGACCAAATTTTGTTATGGTTTTGTGATGTTTATAGCTGTCTGCTTAGACCTACCAAATTCCTTTCATTGGGTTTGAACTGAGGTTTCCGAAGCTGGAAGACTGACGCTGTAGCGTTCTTACCTTCCTCTGGTATCAGTATATGTAATTTGTGCCTATTTACATTTCAAGTGCTTTGTGGTCTTACTGAACTCTGTGCTGCATATGGAGCTGCTTTAATTATTCCCAGAGAAGTTGGGTGTGTGTGTTTCTATTTACAGTTATGAGAGATATGCGATTTCTTTGACCTATTAATGACTTTCAGGAAAATGCTGTATATTGGCAGTAATTAAAATTAACATTTGTTGAATTTATTTTCTTCTTATCTCCAATGTTATTGGAACTGATGTGTTACTCCGAATTGGCTTATCTGCCAAGTGTGTTTAGCAAGGCTTTGTAATGCTATCATATGAGACTGAATATAGTTATGGATATATTGCATAAGGCCCTGCTATCACGTGTAAGATACGAACTCTGTAGATCACAATTTGATTTCATCAGATCTGTCTGAAGCACATCTATAATATCTATCTATAAGAATAGAGATCAGACTGCAACATTCTGCTCCTGGGTGCATATACCGCTCTACCTGTGGCATCAGTCTGAGCTGCCTATGTCTATCAAAGAGCAGCATTTGGCCCAGTCGATAAAATGCTTTAGGACCCGTTTGGATGAAAAGCATCACAGAAATATGAATAATTATAATTTTTGGTAATAAAATTATCAAATTTCTGTGCTCATTGAAAACCCGCAGGACCTTAGCATAGCAATGTCAGGTGCTGTTTTCCGGTAAATATAGAAATTCATCAGTTAACACTAGACCACTTTATTTAAGAACATAAGAACAACCTCAAAATATAAGAATGGCCATACTGTGTCAGACCAATCTAGCCCAGTCTTCCGATAGTGGCCAATGTGTTACTAACCCTTAGAGATAACCAACCCTTAGGCCCAACCAAAGATTTGCGATAATGTGCAAATTTGAAGAGCAGTATTTTCATTGAAGTCGAGGATTTTTCATTCTTCGGGATCATGCAGTATCAGGCCCTTAGTAACTTGCCAAATGCATGGAGATAATTCCATAGTATTTTCTAGGGTGAACACAACATTTAAAAAAAAAAACAATGAGGAGTCCTTGTGGCACATTAGAGACTAACAAATTTATTAGGGCATAAGCTTTCGAGGGCTAGAACTCACTTCATCAGATGCATGAAGTGAAAAATACAGGAGCGGGTATAAATACATGAAAGGATGGGGGTGCTTTATCAAGTGTGAGGTCAGTCTAACGAGATCAATCAATTAACAGCAGGATACCAAGGGAGGAAAAATAACTATTGAAGTGGTGAGAGTGTGGCCCATTACAGACAGTTGACAAGAAGGTGTGAGTAACAGTAGGGAGAAATTAGTGTTGGGGAAATTAGGTTTAGGTTTTGTAATGACCCAACCACTCCCAGTCTTTATTCAGGCCTAATCTGATGGTATCCAGTTTGCAAATTAATTCCAGTTCTGCAGCTGCACGTTGGAGTCTGGTTTTCGAAGTTTTTTGTTGAAGAATTGCCACTTTTAGGTCTGTTATTGAGTGACCAGAGAGACTGAAGTGTTCTCCTACTGGTTTTTGAATGTTATGATTCCTGATGTCAGATTTGTGTCCATTTATTCTTTTGCGTAGAGACTGTCCGGTTTAGCCAATGTACATGGCAGAGGGGCTTTGCTGGCACATGATGGCATATATCACATTGGTAGGTGCCACAAGGACTCCTCGTTGTTTTTGCTGATACAGACTAACCCGGCTACCATTCTGAAACCTGACAACATTTTAATGAAGTGTATACCCTGAAGTTTGGCCTGTTCTGTACATTCTTCCTTGTAAGTGTACATTGTCCAAAGTTTTCTATGTTCTTGTAAAAGTCCATATTTTACTTTTTTGATTATGCAAAACTCAAGCTATTTGCTGTTAATAATCTCCCCATTTGTTCAATGGGAAAGGCACAGGTGGGTTGCTGGTGGTTCCTGGATGTTCTGTTTGTTGGTACTTAGATGACTATTTCTTTATAAAACACTTGATTAATCTTTAATTTCAGGAATATATCTCTTGGATTTAATCTACATCGATTCTGCATATCCTGCATCTGGCAGCATCATGGAGAATGAACAAAGATCCAATCAAATGAACAATATCCTCCGAATAATAGCTGATTTGCAAGTCTCCTGTAGCTATGGTTGGTAATTTTTGTCTTGTTGGTATTGTAAAGTTTTCATTCATATTAATATAATAAATCATTAGGAGATGTCTGCCTCATATGAAGAGGGACATGAGGATAATGTAAGTCAACAGAGTGATGCACTACTAAACTGCTTTATTTCCTTTTCTGTATAACTTCAGTTTTAATACCAAATTAGGCAGTTGAATCATAATATGTGTTCTCTGTTAATGGAACTAGTGTGCAAGCTTTGTTAGAACAGTGTGTTCCATATGCAGGCTAAAACTTAAGTATTTAGTGAACCAGGGCTCTTGCATTTGGATTTTACTAGACTGACACTGTGGTTGATTTTTTTTTTTTAATTTTTATTTTATTTTAATTCTTTTTCTTTGTTTTTGCTTTATTATTGTTCGGATGAGGGAAGTAGGATGTTTCACTGGGACCATTTCTTGCCTGGATGAACTGGAGTCCCCGCTCCTCATGGAATCAAGCGACTCTCCATACCAAGACCCGATCTCCAGACCACCACTATCTTCCGGTACCGCAGGACTCTCCACCCTTTTCTGTGGGTGTTCCTCTGGTGAACAATATTGAGGAGGATGAAGAAGACTTCCAGTCAGTCTGTTCTATTTTTGTTCAGGTTCTCTGATATATTCTTTCAGGAACCCATTCTTTGACAGTCACAGGGCAGATTATGCTTGTCAACAAGGGTGGGGGAAACCAACCCTGCAGTCCACCCCCCCCACTCCTTTATGCCACCCCCAACGGCCATACTGGGCCCTTGGCTGCTTATTGGCAGCAATTTGCCAGACCTCTGGTACTATCTCATAAGGAGGCTAAAGTCATATACTCCTCTCCTTTTCAAACAACCCCCCCCCCCCGAGAAATTTACAGAGCAGGAAGTCAGGTTGGATAAAGAAGCCACCCCTCAAATATCTATTGCATCCTTGTCTCCAAATAAGGGGTTATGCCTCTGCCACCTTCCATGGCCAACAATTTTTGGAAATTTCAAGATCTCATAAAGAGAGCAGCTGATACTCTTCAAATTCCACTCAGAGGTCAAGGACACGAAGCAAAAACTGTTGGATATCCTGCTGTCAGCAACACTCTCCAAGGTGGTGTTACTCATTAATGAGTCACTGCAGGATCCAGCTAAGACTATGTGGCAAATACCTGCTACTGTTCCGCAAAAGTGAAAATGGGCAGATAAAAAGTATTATGTTCCCACCACCAAAAGATTCTGAGGATTTGGTTTTCCACCTAGCTCCCTGGTGGTGGACGTGATAAATGAGTGAGATAAGCAGCACTTCTCTAAATATGACACAGACCAAAAGAGACTGGACTTTTTTGGATGGAAATCCTATTCATCGGCAGCCCTACAATTCAGGATCACAAACTACCAGGCAATCATGGGCAAATATAATTTTACAAACTATAATCTATTACAGCCTTTATTGAACATCTGCCACAGGAACATAGGGAGGAATCCAATCCATCATTTCAGAGGGCCAGTTATTGGCCAAAACCGCTCTTCAAGCATCCTTGGATGCTGCTGACATTGCTGCCAGGTCCATCTCCATGGCAGTAGTTATACACAGGGCATCATGGCTAACTCGGATTTTCCAAGAGAAGTTAGGAACTCTGTTGAGGACCTTACCTTCAATGGCAGTAAACTTTCCTTGGAGACCTTGCAAACACAGATGAGTCCTTACACACACTGAAGGACTCTAGGTCTACTTCATGATCCCTGGGCATTCATACACCTACAAATAAGAGAGGATTTAGTATGTCACAGACTGTCCAAAGATTCTCTGGATTCTATAGATCCACCAAACCTCCCATGGAAAGACATAAATTCCAGACAAAGAGGGCCGCTCAACTGCCTTCCACGACCACCCAGTATTTTCAAAGCAATGATTTTGATGAGTCAGTCGAGTATTCAAATCCTCCCGCACCTCTAGTTTCACAGCTGCATACGTTTGCCCACCTCCCTGATTTTGGAGATGGTCTTTCCTATTTCCAGTATGCTTGGAAGCAGATCTCTACAGAGTGGGTCAGAGAGGTTATAACATCGGGCTGTGCCATTCATTTTACATCCCTCCCTCCCTTCCAACCTCCCCCCTGCCCCATCCTTCTTAAGGGATGCCTTGACAAGCTTTTATTGAGACAGGAAGTGAACTGTCTCCTTTGATTAGGAGCAATAGAGCCTGTCTTGCTGCCTCACAAAGGCAAAGGGTTTTACTCAGAGTATTTCCTTGTGCAAAAGAAGAACAGAGGATGGATACCAATTTGGATCTGAGACTTCTAAACAAGTTCATAAAGTCTCAAAAGTTCAGGAAGGTGACTGGCAGCTATAATTCCTTCACTGGAGGAAGTGGATTAGTTTTCAGCCCTTGACCTACAGGATACCTATTTCCATATGATGATACACGCATTGCACAGGAAATACCTATAGTTCACTATAGGCCAGGATCATTTCCAATACCAAGTTCTTCCCTTTAGTAGTTCTTCTGTCCCAAGTGTACTCTCGAAGATCCACACAGTAGTGGCTGCTTACCTGTGACAAGAAGTGATCCTAGTCTTCCTGTACCTCAACAACTGGCTACTCGAGGGTTGTTCCTACAAAGCAACGCTATCTTCCACCCAGACAGCCTTTGCTCTGTTCCAGGAGTTGGGTCTTCAGTTGAATGAAAAAAAATCTTTGTTAACCCCTGTACAGAAGATACAGTTTATAGGGGTGTGTGTTGAGGCAACGACTCACCGGCGCGGCACCTCCTGCTGGTTGTCCAGGGAATTAGCACTTTTCCAGCTCCGGAGCACCCTCTGCCAGCTGATGTCTCGCCTGCCGCTGGTGCCCATGTCCCTCCTGGACCCCAGTGCCCTTTGCCCAGGGGTTCTGCCCTCCACAGTACCCCCCTCTCTCTGGGTCTCCCCTCCCAGGAGAACCCGCAACCCCCTATCCCCATCTTGCCTCAGTGGCTACTGCCAGCCTCCATCTAGCCCCCGCTCACTGGGGCAGACGGCAGTCTGTATACCACTCATTATCAACAAGGGGGGTTGGACCAGCTGCCTCTGCCTATTTCTGGGCTGCCCCTCTGCAGCCCTAGTACCCTTTTGCGGGCCCTTAGCTTGGCCTGCAGCCTGAGGCTTTGCTAGGCTGGAGCTCCCCAGATCCCTCTGCCCTTCCCCAGCACTGCTCCACCCTAGGTACCCTCCTCAGCTTCCCAGGCAGCCAGGTCCTTCTCTCTCTGAAAGCTAGAGAGAGAATCTCAGTCTCTGGTCCTCAGCCCTCTTATAGGGCCAACTGTGGTCTGATTGGGGCGTGGCCCCACCCTGCTACAGGGTGCCTTCACAATTGTTGACAGCCAGGGCTTACCTTCGCTTAGACAGATTTGTAACGTTGTCAAGTCTGGTATAGGTAATTCAGGGAAACCCTCAGACCACAATAAGGAATTTTCTTCACTCCTGGGATAACACGGCATCTTGCACCTTTTTGACCAATCATGCAAAGCTACGTCTCTGCCACTTCCAGGTTTGGCTCAGAATGACCTATTCTCCGGCCAGACACACCTTGAACAGGCAGGTGATAGTTCCTCTACAAGTGAGGAATTCTTTAGACTGGTGGAAAAATCAACTCAACATCGGTGCGGGCAATTCCTTTCTGTTGTCCAGCCCCATCAATAACTTTAACAGATGCATCAGTGTTGGGGATGGGGAGCTCACCTCAATGCCTTCACAACTCAGAGCAGATGAACAACTCAGGAAACCAATCTCCACATCAGTGTACTGGAACTCAGGGCTGCCTTCATTTCGTACCCCTCTTCAGAGGCAAATCAATCAGGGTCATGATGAACAATACATCCAGCATATTCTGTATCAACAAGCGGGGAGGAGCAAGATTCCCCTCTCTGTGTACTGAAACCATGAAACTAGGGAACTGGTGCATAGCTCATTGAATCCAAATTTCACTGGTCTACCTCCCAGGTATTCAGAACACCACAGCAGATGTTTTCAGAAGACACTTCTCCCAGGACTCCAAACTCTCAAATTCTCCACAGCATATTCCAAAGATGGGGTGTGCCAGAGGTGTCTCTCTTTGACATCTCCAGGAACCAAAAGTGCTTGAGAGAAGTCTGAGCCACCACGCTTTGGGAGACACCTTTCTTCTATCTTGGAAGAAGCGTCTGTTCTATGCATTTACCTCTCCACCGCTGATATGAAGGGTGGTGAACAAAATCAGACAGACAAGGCCAGAGTTGTCCTTATAGAGCCGACATGGCTGAGACAAGCTTGGTACCCTTCCCTGCTTCATTTATGTGTCCAACCACCAGTCAAGCTTCCAACCACTCCTCATCTCATCTTATAGGCTACGGGTTGCCTGCTTCACCCCAACCTAGGGGTTCACCACCTCAGGGGATGGTACCTTGGTCGTTCATGGGTTAGAATCCTCCTGCTCTGCAGAAGTGCAATAGGTGTTACCAAAAAGTAGAAAGAAGTCAACCTGTACTACTTGCAGAAATGGAAGAGATTCTTCCATTGGTGGTATTGCCAACGCCTTCTGCCTGAATTGGTGCCACATTCAGTCATCATAGAATCATAGAAATGTAGGATTGGAAGGGACCTCGATAAGTTGTGGGGGAGGTTTTGGTTGTATATTAGGAAAAACTTTTTCCCTAGGAGGGTGGTGAAGCACTGGAATGGGTTACCTAGGGAGGTGGTGGAATCTCCTTCCTTAGAGGTTTTTAGGGTCAGGCTTGACAAAGCCCTGGCTGGGATGATTTAGTTGGGGATTGGTCCTGCTTTGAGCAGGGGGTTGGACTAGATGACCTCCTGAGGTCCCTTCCAACCCTGATATTCTATGATTCTATGATTCTAAGTTATCTAGTCCAGTCCTCTGCACTGAGGCAGGATTATCTAGACCATCTCCGACAGGTGTTTGTGTAATCTGTTCTTAAAAACCTCCAATGATGGAGATTCCACATCCAGCCTAGGTAATCTGTTTCAGTGCTTGACTACGCTTACAATTAGGAAGTTTTTCCTAATGTCTAACCTAAATTTCCCTTGATACAGTTTAAGCTCGCTACTACTTGTCCTGTCTTCAGTGGTAAGGAGAACAAGGTATCATCCTCCTCTTTACAACAACCTTTTACATACTTGAAGACTATTATCTTTTGCCCCCTCAGTCTTCTCTTCTCCAGACTAAACAAACCCATTTTTTTCAGTCTTTCCTTGCAGGTCATGTTTTCTAAATCTTAATTTTTGTTGCTCTCCTCTGAACTTTCTCTAATTTGTCCACATCTTTCCTGAAGTGTGATACCCAGAAGTGCACACAATACTCCAGTTGAAGCTTTAACAGTGCTGAGTAAAATTGAAGAATTACTACTACTTTCTTGCTTACAACTCTCCTGCTAATATATCCGAGAATATGTTTGCTTTTTTTGCAACAGAATTATATTGTTGACTCATATGCTATTCTTCCCAGTGTGGTATCATCCACAGACTTTATAAGTGTACACTCTATGCCATTATCCAAATCATTTTTGAAGATATTGATTAGAACCCGACCCAGGACAGATCCCTGCTAGACCCCACTTGATATGCCCTTCCAGCTTGACTGTGAACCATTGATATTACTACACCCTGAGTATAGTTTTCCAGCCAATTGTGCACCCACCTTATAGTAGATTCATCTAGGCTATATTTCTCTAGTTTGTTTCTGAGAAAGTCATTTGAGACAATGTCAAACGCCTTACTAAAGTCAAGATATATGACATCTGCTGCTTCATCTTTGTCAACAAGGCTTGTTACCTTTTCAAAGAAGGCTATTAGGTTGGTTTGACACGATTTGTTCTTGAAAAATCCATGTTGACTGTTACTTATCGTATTTTTTACTAGGGTGCTTACAAATAGAATGTTTGATTATGTGCTAGATTATCTTTCTGTGCGCTGAAGTTAATCTTTATGTGCACACCCTAAATTCATGCCTAAGGTATTATCAGAGTTCCATCTTAATCAATCCATTTATATCCCAGTGTTTTTTCCCGTACTGCTTAGCTCTCTGCAAGAGACCAGTTTTCATACCTTGGATGTTAGAAGGGCTTTGGCTTACTACTTAGATAGGAGCAAACAAATTAGAAAGTCATCTAGGCTGTTCATCTGCTTTGCAAATACATCAAAGGGGTCCACAAATCTCTGCTCAGGTATCTCTGGATATCTGGTTGTATATTCATTTCTTATGATGCTACAGGCATTCATCTCCCCCAAATGGTGATAGCACATTCAACCAGATCAAAGCAACCTCCACAGCTTTACTTAAGAATGTGCCAGTATCTGAGATATGAAGCCCATGTAGGGGCCTGACAGTATATACATTTTCTGAACATTACACTATGATCCATGCAGCGAGATCTGATGTGGCATTTGATACGGTAGCACTGGTCTTTAGTTCTAGAGTGAATTCTGAAGATCCCTCCTCCCTCTGGGGATGCTGCCTGGTAGTCACCTGAAGTGGAGCACCCGTAGGGACATTACTCGAAGAAGAAGTTGCACACCTTGTGTAGTAATTGCAGTTTTTGAAGATGTGTGTCCCTATGGGTGCTCCACTACTGGCCCTCCTTCCCCTCTGTCTCACTGTCCTCTAAGGGACATTTGGGTGGAGAAGGAACTGAGGGCAGTTCTACCACACACTCCTATGTAGCCTCGGTGTCCAGCACAAGGAGGCATAGGGCGCATGCGCTTGCTAAACGGACACTGCTAATGGAAAATCGCGGAGCAGGATTCGAGAGGCTCATGCGCACCTGAAGTGGAGAACCCATAAATACGCACATCTCGAAGAAATGCAGTTATTGCACAAGATGAGTAACCTCTTCTTTTGGTGCTCATCAGAGGTCTACCTAGTGGAAGGCTTCAGGGCCCTGTTGGGAAGGAGAGGGAGATGTGAAGTAAAAGGGAAGCCATGTTCCTTTTGGTGCCTTTTTCTCACTTCTGAACTCTCAGGATGAAATCTTGTCCTGATGCTTCTTGCCATTAAGTTTCAAATAAGAATCCAAAATGTTTGTTCTGTATTTGAACCAAATTGTCTGAGGTTTGCTCATTAATACATGAACCTCCACTTTTCTCTTTGTAAATTGAGAGCACATATTAAAGTCGACCAATTCTCCTAGTAAAATCAGCAGCTGAATCTCATCTATAGACTGAATGACAACCAAGCCTTTATTTGGTAAAATCCTTAACATTCTCATACAGTCTAACAAAATAATATTCCTAGACAGTGTCTCCCTTGGGGAGTTATGGTCTCCTTTTGATTCCATTCATAAAATCAAAAGAACTGGAGAAAGCTAAAGAAGAATTGCTTTTATTTTTGCAGTTGTAGAGACTTATCTTGGCTATTTTTTTATACTCTACAGATCATCTCATAACTTTACCCCATGTGCAAAAGTACTTAAAGTCTGTCCGCTACATTGAGGAACTTCAAAAGTTTGTGGAAGATGACAACTATAAGTAAGTACCATACTTTCCTCCACCCCTACATGTATTAATGGAAAGATGGCCTGGCTATTAGCTTGAGTAGGAGTTATACAAAAAATATCTGACAGAACCGTAAGTAGAGTTTTTTAACATTTTTAAACTGAGCTGATATTGTCAGGACATCTGAGTGAAACCCCTGCTGGCAGTAGTCCTTATGACTCTTAACATCAGTTCCAAAATTGTATTTCTTTCGCTTTTGCAAAGGTAAAAAGGGATAAAAATCAAGTGTCTGTCTTATTACAGTGTAGCCTTGTACTGGGAATGGCACTCAGATCCCTAAAACTGGATGTTCCCTTGCAAACTCTGTTGGCTCGGGATGCAAGCTGTACCCAAGCAAACAGTATCCATTTTAATACAGCTAAATGTAAATGTATAACTAGGAACAAAGAATGCAGGCCACACTTAAAGGATGAGGGACTATATCATGGGAAGCAGTGAGTCTGAAAAAGATGTGGGGGCAGTGGCGAATAATCAGCCGCACATGAGCTTCCAGTGCAACGCTATGGTCAAAAGGGCTAATATGATGCTTGGATGCATGAACGGGGGAATTTTGAGTGGGAGTAAAGAGGTTATTTTACCTCTGTATTTGGCACTACTGCAACTATTGTTGGAATACAGTGTCCAGTTCTGGTGTCCACAATTCAAGAAGGATGTTGACAAATTAGAGAGAGTTCAGAGAAGAGCCATGAGAATGATTAAAGGATTAGAAAACATAACCTGTAGTGATAGACTCAAAGAGCGCAACCTATTTAGTTAACAAAGAGATAGTTAAGGGGTGACTTGATTACAGTCTATAAATACCTACATGGGACACAAATATTTAATAATGTGCTCTTTAGTCTAGCAGCGAAAGATCTAACATGGTCCAATGGCTGGTAGTTGAATCTAAACAAATTCAGAATGTAATTAAGTCATAATTTTTTAACAGTGCGTAATTAGCCATTGGAACAATTTACCAAGAGTTGTGGTGGATTCTCCATCACTGACCATTTTTAAGTCAAGATTGAATGTTTTTCTAAAAGTTCTGCTCTAGGAATTATTTTGGGGAAATTGTACGACCTGTGTTATACAGGAGGTCAGACTAGATGATCAGAATGGTCCCTTCTATGAGTTACTTAATGTTATCTGAAATGGTGTACACAATACCTTTTAAATACAACTGAATAGTTATACCAGGCTAATTCACAACAAACAAGACTGACTTTGTCAGGCTACTACTTTCATGTGTCAGGTATGTGTAAAGCAACAGTCATTCAAGAAGCTGAGGTCAAGAGCAAACCAACATGCCAGAGTGAAAGAGGCCGCATATACACATTCATTTTCCAGAGTGGGGAACTGAGGGTCCCTGTGTCACTTCTGCAATCCTCAGGATCATGTATGTGCCAGTCCAAAGAATGGGCTAAACTGCATCAAACCAAACTACCCTGCATTTATTTCTCAGATACAGCTGAGCTTACTTCAGTTGCTTCTAGTATTAAAGAGTGGTACTAAGCTATCATGCATATGTCTGTCGCTGCTAGTGTAGACATTGTTAACAGAAAGATCAGTCTCTTAAAAATAGGCAAGACAGATTTGAAGACAGTGAGAATGAAACAAAATGGTGACCCTTCCTGTTGGCTTCCAAATAGCTCATGTTTGGAGATACCTCAGATTTCTAAAGCTGTTCTACTCAGCTCTGCTTCAAACCAGTGCATATATACTGCAGTTCTTCAGCCAAACGATAATTGAGACAAACCATTTATGATAAAGTATGGAATAATTAATTTTGCAGTGTGGAGCCATATAAAAGATTAATATGTTTGGAGTCTTACGCTGCTTCAGATGAGAAAATCATTCTAAAGGAAATAACATAGAAAGCAGACATTCTTCTGGGACTGATACCAGAACTGCATGAATGTGTCCGGACAGACTTCAAATGGAGAGAATATCCTCCATAATCTGTCCCATTGCCTAGGATAACCTCCAACTAGAGAAGCCAAATCAACATTGGCCTATTCACTGCAGAAGATCAGCCTTGTTTATGGTTTTGACAAGTTTATTTTTTTGGATCAGATTAAAAGCAGATCTAGGAACTGTGATATTTTATGTCATAATTCTGCTTATTGTTTTGCATTGTCTTCCAAATGAAAAACCCGACATCTACAAAACGTTTTTCAAATACAACATATATTATAAAAAAAAGGAGAATTTCTACCATTATATTCATGGTGGGATTTGTGTGTTCATTTCCCTCTCCTCACATCATATGTACAACACAAACAGAAAGAGAGAGGGAAAGACTTGCATGCTGTGCACACAGATACACACTGAACACTTGCACATTATATGTTCTTGTACAAATTAAGGACAGTGTGAGCTCTATATTAAAAGTAGTCTGACTTTTCATATGTGTTTGTCTCTGAATGTTAAAATTTAGTAAGCAAGAGATTGTATTTACTTATTTCCAACATGATTAGCATTTTACATTAAATGAAGGCAGGGAGAGCACAAGTTTATAATCTAAATTGCAATAGGGAAAATTGTAGTTAGTATGTGTTTTACAGCTCCTGGACTGGCTGCCAGCAAATGAACACATTGCTTAATTTAATTTTTGGACAGGCTTTCCTGTTCATGATACAATGTTGAGATTATATAGACAGTAGTTTTTCATTAGTTCTAGTATCTTTGCAAAAGTGAACAAAACAAATGGTCTTTATAAATATTTAGTGCCATGACATCATACTTGGATGTACTACAAATCATGAGTAATTTATATTTAATTTTTTGAAGCCACTTTTAATCCCAACAGAGGTTTTGTTAACAACAGTGAGAAGTATTTACGTATATTTTTAGAGGTAATTCAGTACTCATCCTTTCATCTGGATACCTGGGAAAATGCATTTTCTGAGCACATTTACTAATTTTCTTTATAAGCATGAGTGTGTCTAGTGAGAGTTTAGCTGAAGCCAAAGGAAAGATTCAAAGTGAAAGGAAATCAGGGCAGAATTTGATACCTAATATGGTAAAGGTCACTGCAGCTTCTTTGAGAGCTTGCATATGTCCATTACACTGTAAGTGTGTGTGCAACTTGTGCACCGGTGCCAGAGAGTTTTCCCTAGTGATACCCATATAGGCATAGCCTTGCACAACTCCAGGCTCCTTGTGCTGAAAAGTGAGGGTATAAAGGGCAGAGTAGCCCTCCCCCTATTTCAGTTCCTTCTTAGCATGTATGGTTGATGGTTATAGCATTGGTGTTCCCTGTGAACAATTAAACTGTTTGGTACTACCTAGTGGTACTCAGTTTTTAGTTATTTTCTTTCATTTTTATTTCTTTGTTTGTTGTTTCTTTTGAAAAATTTTACTTTGATTATGCACCCCATGAGGTCTCTGGACCTTATTTGATACTAGGGCCTATGCCCAGGTTCCCAGGGTTTAAACCTGGTGTGGGATGTAAAAAGTCTATGCCTGTTAGTGACCCTCATTCCCTCTGTTTCAAGTGTTTCAGTGAGAGCCAAGTTAGAGGTAGGTGCTCTATTTGTCATGACTTTAAGAACAAGACAAAGAAGCTGAGGGAAGAGCACCTCCGATACCTCTTGATGGAAGTTGCCCTTAGGCTGGCATCATTGCCCCCTCGGTCCTCCAAGGAAAGCTCTTCAAAGACTCCTTATCAGAGTGCTCCCCCAGCCGGTCCTGCAGAAAGAGGCCGCAGGAGATCCTCAACTCTGGTAACATCTTCTTTGAGGCCCAAGACTTCAGACCAGTCCTGACCTCAGAAGCAAAAGCAGAAGTTGGGTCAGGGACTCTTCCATGGAAGAGTGATCCAGTACTGAAGATAGAGCACACCAGCCAGCTCACCACTTCCCAGTACCGGCTCAGTCGGAGAAATGAGCTGTCCACTTAGATGCCCTCCCAGGGACCATTGAGACTGGCTATTTCTTCACTGGCTATGGAGCAGTCTTCTTGATCAGCATCCCATGGCTGTACCCACTGCACTAGAGGCTTATGCTGTGGCCAGCAACTTGCTGTGCCTCTTGATACTGCCATCACCATTTCTTCAGGGTGACGACCCTTGACTGGCATTGTCACAGCTATCTAGACCGTCAGCACCTAGATATTCTTCTGTGAGGCCATCAGTTTCAGGCTCAGTACTCTCCCCTTCCACCTTCTTGGCGCCAGTTCCAGATCCCCCACACTGTATGTTGTCAGATGTTAGAAAGTCATCCATGCTTCCCCCAGTGCCGCGTTTCCAGCATAGGTCTCAATCCTGGTCAACAAGTACCCCTCCCTGTACCATGCCACTCGGGTCTCTAGGTACTCCGATTCATCATGCACACAAGGATAAGTGAAGACTCCATAGTCCTGACGTTCATCGACCACTGAGTTTTTACCTGGATAGAACAATGCCCCTTTGGATTTCTTCCCAGTTTTGCAGAACGTATGAGAAGTCATCCTGCCTCAACTCAGAGACTCTTCCAGTGGATCACTAGCTGCATTACAATGTGTTGAGCTGCCAAAAGAGTAATGCCTCCTGACAATCTCACAGCACATTCAACCTCATCAGTGTTTGTGGCACTGTGGCGGGGTGTGCATACCCTGCACTAGGCAAGGAAGGGTTAACCCCACACTATGGGGGGCAGACGTCCCACCCCTCAGACCATGCTGGGCATGCTCCAACTGCTGCCTCAGTATAAAAGGGAGCAGCCCAGCTCATTCTAGGCTCTCATCCTGCTGTCTAATAGAGATTGACTTAAACCCTGAAGCATGAGTTTTAATATCCCTTCCAATATTTTTCCTATAATTACGATAACTCTGGATATTCTTTCTACCCATACAGATTTGAATCCTGCTTAGTCCTTTGCCCCTCTGTTTTCCTGTGGCAATGAGCTCTCCATTCACCTAGCTGGGTTAGGTCTTTCTTTTTCTGTTAACCTTCTTCCATGAAGAAAATTTACATTTTATTCCTATTCTTTGCTTTCTGTCTCCTAGACAGTTTT